TGCAAGAAAGCAGTACCTTCAAGCCTTCAGCAAGTTCTTGGGTCTTTCCTATCATTCTGGTAAGAAAGAAGTATGGTTAAACTAGATTTTGCGTTGACTATCAATGGTTGAATGAGGTTACAAAGAAGGACAGCACCTCTCTTCTTAAAACTGACAATATTCTGGACACACTTTCTGGAAGCAAGTGGTTTCGATGCTTGATTTAAAGACTTGATATTGACAGGTAGAGATACACCCTGATGACCGAGAAAAGAAGGCATCAAGGACTTCAACAGTTCAAAGTAATGCCATTTGGATTATGTAACTTGCCAGCAACATTCGAACACCTCATGAAGACCATGTGGAGAGTTCTTTCTTACGAAACCTGTCTGATATCATTATCATCAAGAAGAGTTTTGAAGAACATCTGAAAAATCTTAGAAAGGTGCTTCAGGAACAGAAAGAGCCAATCTAAAGTAGAGTCCTGCTAGATGTAAACTATTCAGACAGGAAACGACTTATTTTGGACATGACATCTCTGCTAAAAGCAGATCCAGAAAAAGTGTCAGCAGTTAAAGATTGGAGATGCCCTGAAAATGTCCATCAGCTAGGAAGTTTTTTGGGACTTTGCACTTAGTATAGGAGATTTGTGAATGACTTTTCTTCCATCACTAGATCCCTTCATAAGCTGATAGAGAACAAGCAAAAGTACTTGCGGACAAAAGAATGCAAGGATGCATTTAACAGCCTGGAGGCAGCTTTAAAATCTGATCCAATCTTGACGTATCCTTAACTCAATAAACCATTAATTCTTAACAGATGTGAACAATGAGAGTGTCGGTGCTGTTTTGTCCCAGCAAATAAATGCTCAAGAACGTGTCATAGCATACTGGATTAAGTGTCCATCTAAACACTGTGTCACCAGGAAAGTATTACTCATGATAGTTAAAGCCGTAGAACATGTCCATCATTATAGTTATGGCGTAAAATTCCTGCTCAGCACAGATCATGCATCTTTGACATGGCCTTTAAATTTCGAGAATCCTTAAGGTCAAATAGTCAGATGAATACTAAGACTCCAGGAATATGACATGACTATCCATTATCGAAAGTGATTATTGCATGGAAACGTCAATGCCCTGTCTAGAAGACCCTGATCAGAAAGCTACTGATACTGTTCCAGGGTCGAAGCAAAATACGAGATGCTTACTTCGGTCACACAACAAGTTACAACTTCAACATCGGCTGATCATGACCTATGGAGTGACGAAGTCAGGAAAGACCAGTTGGAGGATAGCAACATTAAAGCCATAATTGATTTAATGGAATCTTCAAACAGGAAAACTACCTTGCAAGGACATTTCGATCTATAGACCTATGAGAAAACAATACTGGGCTCTCGGGGACTCATTCCATATTTGAAGCAGCACCTTGTAGTGGAAATTTGAATCGGATAATGGAATGGCATTCTGATGGTAGCTGATACTTCGAAAGATACCGGATTCCAGACATCCTTAAAGAATTACATAAGTCCTACAAGAGGCCACTTCGGAATAATGAAGATTTTGCCGAGAATTTGAGAGCACTTCTACTGGAATAATGCAAGGACTGACATGCAAAAAATAGAGTCAATAATGCAATGCTTGAGCAAGTGGAAAAGGACCGAAAAAGGTAACCATGAGAAGCTACAATGTTAAAATACACTATCGCCTTTTGAACATATCATCTTTGTTATCCCGGAATCTCAGCTACAAACTGCTGATGGCAAAAAATACATCCTTGTTGTCTCTGATTACTTCGCAAAGTGGCCTGAAGATTATCCTATTCCTGATCAGGAGGCTGTCATGGTAACAGAGTTAATGATACAGCTCTGGATTTCTAGGTTCGGAGTGAATCTTCAGTTATATTCTGTTCAAGGAAGAAGTTTTACCTCGACTGTAATTTAAGAACTCTGCAAGCTACTCAGCATCGAGAAAATCCAAATGACAACTTTATATTCCCAGTCAGACAGCATAGTAGAAAGGTTTAATCGAACCATCCTTAATAACCTCTCAATGGTAATTTCCAGATGCCAACAGGACTGGGACAAGAATTTATCTCTCTCCTTTTTTTTCTGGCTTATCACCATTCTATCCACAAGACTACCGGCTATACTTCATCCTAGATGTTCTTCAGTCATGACCTTTGTCTGTCTTGTGATCTCTTCTTTGCAGATGCAGCTTTATCACTTGAGGAGTACATCCAAGATCTCCAAGGATGGCTTGAAGTGATGCACAATTTTGTGCGTAAGCGAGTAATTTGGCGATGAAGAAGAATGAAGGCTCGATACAACATGACAGCTACAGGACATCGATTCAAAGAAGGTGACAAGGTGTGGATGTGGAATTCAATTCAATGGAAAAGACTCTCTCCTGAATTACAGTCACCTTGGGATGGTCCTTACAAGTCCTAAAGAGGCTGAACAAAACCATAGTTTGGATCCGGAAGCCATTGAATTCTAAGCCTTAAGTCGTTCATTATTACAGGCTAGCCCCTTACTATGGCCATAGTATGCATTCCCCATAGTGTATAAAATATAAGTATTATACTAAAACTATGGTCTTATTTGTTTCTAAATTTGTATATTTGCCACTAATTTATTTAGTATTTTATTTTTTTATGTTATTTAATGAAATTATTGTTTAAATATTGCATTGAATGGTGTTCGTTGGTGGTCTAAGAAAACTGACTGTCATAGGAAGCATGTAAATGCTGCTAGACGTAGATTTCAGAGAGAAAGCAACAGTATTCTTAAAGATATGTATAAAATTAAGTGCATTGAGTTGTGACATAATTATAAGCCTAAATTAACTAATGCAAAGCTTGACTCATGGAAAAATTTTCTCTCAACTATTAATGTTCATGATGTCTTGATATATATATATATATAAGTATGAGGTTAAGACCAATTTTGTGAAAAGGATTGAGATTTCGGGAATCAAACTTCCGGATGGTACTCTTACTTCGAGTTTGAATTATACAATTGTTGCTATTATGAGAAAGAATTTCCCAAGAGATAATGTGCGTGATGATAGGAATTTTCATAGAACTAAGCATACTGAGTCATAGGGCCTTTATATTTCATTTATGGACTGTCAGTTCTCTACTTCAGAAGTTAACAGTGTTATTAAAAATCTCAGGCTGGTTTTCAGATCTAAACTCAAATGACTTTTGTTTCTCCCTGATAGTTTATCAAGAATACTGTTTGCCTTTGTTCTCCAGGATTTTCATCACCAAATCATTGATGTTCTGGTCAACTGTGATATACACTGCCCTCCAAAAGTTAAGAAACAGGATGTTTTTCAAAGCTTGCCATTACAAAAATGTCAGTAACATTTAAATTCACAGTTCATATGCATGATAGTAATGAAGTTTAAGAAAATATATGCAAAACAATAGCTACCACTTTAATTTTATAGAAATGAATACTTATATAGAAGTTATAGAAAAAACACAAAAATTGTAATATTTGTTCACGAGTGTTGATCTTCAGTTCTTATTACAGTTTCATGGACAATATCCAGGAAAGTCTATCAATGTCCACGAGAAGTCGTTTACCCGATTTGTTGAGGTGGTGGGCAATCGGATGGATGGAAATCTCACAAGCTGATGTTGCTAGACGTCCAAATGTCTCTCGTAGTGTGGTCCATTGACTAAATTGGAATTAGTTTGTGTCCAAGGATTCTATGTTTAGAAGACATGTTCTAGGCAGACCTAGAGTTATAACACCTGCAGGAGACTGTTATTTAACTCTTTTGGCCCGAAGGAGTAACATTAACTGTGCCTCAGCTCATGGCACATCATTTAGTGGCAACAGGAACAAGAATTTCAGCTACTACAGTGCACAGATGCCTGCACAATACAGGTCTGTATACAAGATGACCAGCTGTTTGTGGCACCTTGACCTGAGGACACAGAGGTGCCTGTTTATGTTGAGCAGGAGAACATGTCTCCTGACCAGTCAACAATGGGTGCCTGTTTTCCTCACAGACAATCCCATTGGAGAGTGATTCAGATCATCAACTGATCTGGAAGGAACAATGCACCAGATACAACCAATCCCACAATATGGAAAGACACAGTTACAGAGGTGGTGGAAAAATGGTATGGACTGGGATCTCTCCCGATGCTCACACTGACCTGTATGTGTTCCATGGAGGAATTTTGACCAGTATGAGATATCGAGATGAAATCCTTGATCAATATGGCCACCTATATGCCACTGCTATTGGTCCTGGATTTCTTCTGATGGACAATAATGCATGACCTCACCGAGCTTGTGTTGCTGAAGAATATCTTGAGGGTCATGGTATGCAGCGGATGGAATGGTCAGCTCAATACCCATACCTGAATCCGATAGAGCATCTTTGGGACTACCTTGCAGACAGGTTGCCACTTTAAGTCCTCCTTCATGATTGTTAGAAGAGCTTGACAAGGATTACTCAGTGTCTGGTCATTGATTCCCATTTCACTGACCGACAACTTAATTGACAGCACGGAATGTTGCTGACAACAATGTGTTCCAGCTAGGGGTGGACACATTCCTTATTAGAATCCATTTTTGCTACCATCCCCATTTTTCCTTAAAATACTAAGATATACTGTTTCCTCAAGACTGGACTTCTCTGCCAAGAGTGAAATTTTTTGTTGTAATTCATGCCTGTGTTGAACTTTAGAAACATTCTATGTCGTATTCATTAAGGAATTGTTTAGCAAACATGCCCTGTAAATTTCTTCTTTCTTTGTTCCTTCATTCCCAAATCAGAACAAAAAATATGTTCCTTAACTTTTGGAGGGCAGTGTATAGATCAAATGGTTCATAGCTTAAATATCTATATTATAAACAAAGCAAAATAAACACACTGAGCATTTCTGAAATTTCTTTAAAAAATTTACTGAGTTTGTCTACATTTCAATATTAGTTCATTTCTTATGATTTTTTTAATGTTTCTTGCAATTATGAATAACTGTATTAAACTTACCATTGTAAAATTGTCATCCTCAAAACAGCCATTAATACAAAGAGTTATCTTAGGAACTGCTGCAGAAGAATGGGCTGCAACCATCTTAGCTCTGTCTTTGAGAAGAGAATCTGTATAAAGGAGGGGAAAATGTATTAATATTTTCCTATGCATTCAGAATACGTAATACGCAACAAAATGACAATATTACTACTGTTAAGTAGAAATCAGACTGTAGCAGCCTGCTATTCTAGAAATTGTATAAACATTAATGGTAATTCTCTATTATACTACTACAAAGTTTTATTTTAACTTCAATCCTGATTTTATAACTAATTTAAATTCCTAATTGACATATCTTCCTTTAAGTAAATGACTACTCCTGAGAGCAGGGAGAGATAAAACATAATTCTACATGAAAAAATATAAAGAATGATTAAATGCTCAAAGATAAATGGAAATCACATACTTGTTAATACAACAGGATTTCAGTCAAGCAGAAGCTTGTTCTCTAATGTACAATGCTTTACTTTTAGGCGAAATTTGTTACTTCTTAGAATAAAATGTTTTGATTGTATTTTAATGTTCTAAATATGTAATCACTATTCAAATAAAGCAGAATAAGTGAAAAAATTAAATTTTCTTGATGATACAAGAGTAAACAGATTAATATGCATTTGAATTTTTCTTTTCTAGTTATCCCAGATGCTCTACTTAACATTACCTGAAATATATTCAAGCACTTTTTGCTTATATGTTTGAAAACTGTGGATACCAGAAAAAGTAAAGCTGTTTAGTTCAGGCTTTTGGGAGAAACTAACAGAAAAACAATTCCAAGATCAAAACTAAAGGAAAAGCATAATACGAAAGAAATGAGCATTGAGGTTATGGAAAAATGTATGGGCTTGAAATAGATTTTGAGATAAATGCTTTTTTTTGAATTTATATATGTCATAATTTTGAAACACAGTCACAATGGCTGAGTGGTAGGGCGAGAAGAAGAAGGTGATACTAAACTAAGTTCAGCCAATTATCATCTTCATTTCCAGATTTCCAGGCACACTAGAATAATTCCTCGTAGACAATATACTCTTTAATCATAACAATTACAATAGTTTTATATATACAATTTACAAGACATACATATTCTAACTAGAATGAATACATACATATTCATTTGTTGAATAAATAATAATTCAAGAAAGCTAAGAAAAAAATGTTAGAACTTTTCAACCTCAAGCAGAGAAAAAAAAAGTATAACAAATTATATCTTTCTTGTAACTGTAATTCAAAAAAATATTATGCATTTTTTTAAATGGGGCACCTTTTTTTTTTTTAATAAGATGATAATTACGTGACTGGAAACCATTAGCATTTCATTTAAAATTGTAATAGAAAAAGAAAAATATGAAATATTACTAATATATTTATAACTACCATGAGAAATAGCATGTGAATGATTGCCATCTTTAAAACACCCTGAATTTTGCAAAAAGATCAGTGGTATGTTTCGTTTTTCACAGAGTTGTATCATATGTGTTCCTTTCTGTGCATCTTCAAATGTCAAAGCATTGCAGTTTGCAAGAATACCAACAAGCATCCTACAAAAATTAAAGAAGAAACAAAATTATAAATGTACAGAAATAAATAAACAGAAAGATAATTAAGAATAAAATTCTTACAATCTACAGCTCCTCTCCAATAAAGTAAAGCCTAAATTTCATCAGAAAAATGAATATTTGAATTTAGAAATTTGTTTCTAAATTCAAATATTCATTTTTCTGAAGTTCTCACCTTATTTTGCCCACTGTCCACTTTGAGAATATATATATATCTATATATATATTTCCTAAAGCCCCCATTTTTCTTTTACTTGCAAATCTGAAACAGCTATTGCCACGATTACAGTTAAACGTATAATATTATATGTAAGATTCAGAAGTTGTAAGATTCAGAATAAGGATATGGCCCTATCCTTATTTTGAGTTTAAAGAAAACAGTTTCAATGAGAACAATTAAAATGCATACTTAATTATATTAAAAAGTATCTTTATTAATATTAAAAAACATTGAATTTATTACTTATCTACTGAGAAGGTTGAATTTGATGCATTTTAAGAAGTTTGTTAATATCAGGTTCTATTTTACTTAAAAACAAAGTCGCTGCATTTAGTAACATGGAGACGATTTCTCATTTTAGTTACCAACGTTGCTACAGCACTAAATGCACATTCAGCTAAATATGGAGGTGGGATTGCTATCAGAAATTGTTGAACAATCGACCATAATCCTGGGTACAGTTGCAAAATCAGCTTCTGCAACCAAAATTCTTGGTAGCTGTTCTTAATTTAATTTTTAATCCTTCATTTGTCATCAGTTCTATTAGCTCTTCTAACTAGGATGATCCTGCTTTGTTGACAATTGAAAAACGATCCAACACCCAGTATGGTTGTCCTTATTAGAATGTCTTAGGAATGTGCTTTGAAATCACTGTAGAGGTTTTCCAAGTGCTGACAGTAAACAAGCAAGTCGTCATGCTTGAATGATACTACTGATAAATTTGGGAAGTTAGTATTGAATTCGCATCTGCCAATATTTCTTTTGTATAACAGAAGTTTTGACACAAAAGCAGCAATGCTAATCAAGTCATCACCTTGAAGTTGGAGACTGACATCATTAAACAATTTATACAGGTCTGTCAAGTACGCAATATCGTTTTTTGATGAGATGAGGTTGCCGCACAGTTCTGTGTCTTTGTTTCCTTTCTTTTCTATCACAGACCCAAACAGATTGTAAAATCGAGTCAATCAAGTACCTTTTGGCACCTCTGTGTGAGGCAGCATTCATCATTGGCAATGCAAAGTTGATTATACAATCCATCATTCAATGAGTTATTTGGGATTTTATTAACTGCTCTGATAACATATTGCAGAGATGTATGGAGATGTTCACTCAGATTTTTCACAACCAAATGCTGGCGATGAATTATGCAATGCACAGCAAACACATCAAGAATTTTATTTTTTTAAGCACATTATGAAGCCTTTGTGATGCCCTGTCATAGCCAGTGCACCATCCTTAGCAACTGACAAAACATTATTAAAAGGAATTTCTTTTTCATCACTAAACTTCAAATATGGTTTCTCCTTTTGTATCTATTTCCAAATTGGTAGCAAAAATAGTTTTTGACATTATTTTTTCATCTTTGATAAACCTCACATATGACAATAACAATGCTTCATTGGTTGGTAAAGAGGACTCATCCAGCTGAATTGAAAATTGACAAGTCTGCAGATAATCGCACAATGATTCTTCAATGTTTTCAGCCATCTCATCAATTCGTCTTTGCACAGAACTATTGCTCAAAGGAATTTTTCGGATAAAATCTGTAGGTAGTTTATGGAGCACAATGGTTATTACTTCTTTTACGGCTGGTAAAATCAAATCTTCTCCAATAGTATGTGGTATGCCTGTTTTAGCAATCAACAACGAGATATTGTAAGAAGCTTGAAGTCCATCATCGTCTTGCTTAGAAGCTGATGAAAAACGTTTTGATATAGTTGGCTGAATTTCATACTTCTTTTTCATGTTTGAGATGTTGGTCACATCTTGGTCTTTTTATTTGGGTGAATTTTATTAAAATGATCTTGAAGCTTAGGCTTCATTGCTTCATTTGAAAATGTTTTTTGACAAATAAGGCAAATTGGTGATGATGTATTTGTGGGATTTTTGATAAATTCATATTTAATATAATCCACACTATACTGCCGCCTCTTCTTTTTTGCTTCCGATATGGTTTTTACTTTACACATACGTGAGTAGTAGTAATGAATGCTACATATATCATGTTAAGGGTTATTTGTTATAAAATATATATATACTGGGACAGTTGTGACAAGAAACGTGACATTCAGAGCGTGTTGATAATTAGCTGTCACAAGCTGGTAAAAAAAATACATGCCAAAAGACGGTTGTTTTAAATTAACTATTTGCATTACCCAAAAATACGTGACAAATATTGCAAGTTCTCAATTAACTATTTCCTTTTGTTATGGAAAAAACAGGTGTTAAACACCGTGCGGGAAATCCGCTCAGGGAGACACAAAAGGAAGACTTTGAAAATGCTAAAAGATGCACGAGGAACTGTGATAGACGTGCTGTGAATAGGGTGAGAAGATTGCATCTGCAGAAGCGAATAGTCTGCCTCAGTTTTATTCAATGTCCTAATGCTAATTTTAACATAATTCATCTTTTGTATAACCAAGAATTAATTTGTCCAGTTTTCATTAAAATCAAAAAGACAACCTGTCTGTTTATTCTCCCATCTTGGGAAAACTCATCGTCGTTACAATAGTAGTGAGTGAGAAGTGAAAAGATCAACTTTTAAAACATTGTCATCAGTCGAGCGTGATAATGCTAATGAAAACAAAATGAACAAGCATTCTCTTTATATAGGTTGGAGATACATAATATGCATCGACAAGAATAAGATAAACATGCAGTGGCTCGTTTATAACACTCGGCACAGAAGTAAAGCATGGGTTAAGGGTAATCAGGGAACAGACTGCAGGTTAGAAGAAGCACAGAAATTATGGAAATAATTGTCAATTCCTGCAGGACTGTAAAATCACGTTATTTAACAAAAATGTGTTATAACCTGAAACGCTACAAGCATATTTTTTGCTATTTTTTATTAACAGGCTTTTGTTAACTTTACCTGTATTTTTATATGAGATATTTCACGTGAAATTGGATGATTTGAATTTTATTTCAAATTTGAATTTTAATTCAGATCTAAAATAAAAAATCTTCTACTGCCCCCTAAATCTCAAATGCCCACAAGGGGGTGTTATTGCCCACGTTGAGAATCTAGGACATAGTATAAAATGCTAAAGCCTTCCTGATCTACACTGCATGGGGAAAAAGCATAACTATTGGAGATAAAATATTCTTTTATAAGATCTATCACTATTCTGTAGAAAGGTAGAAATAAGATGCAGTTTACAATTCAAGATGCCTTTTTATTCATTTTTTTTTTCCATCTTTAAAGACATATAATCAGAATCAATATAAGATGTTGGTGCTAATAATCCTCATATCCCATATATTTTTTTATTTTAATTTTTTTTTTATTTCAAGCCTCATATAGGTAGAAAATGATCACTGACCATGCTAAATTAACAACATTTTTGACGCATAAAAAATACAATTGTCAAAGTTAATTGAACTAAGTAAATTTTTTGTTTCGTTAATATAAGGTATTATAGTTTTTGGTTTTATTTAATATAAATAGTAATAATACTTGTATTAAACAAACTAAACCAACTTCAAAACTAAATTCATAACACACATCATTATTTTACATTGAATGGCAAACTAGAATTATTAATTTCCTTAAATTAAAAGTATACATATACATTAAAAGTATACATACATTAAAAGTATACATTATAATTATACATATTTTTTAAATATTATCACAGACTTTAGACTGAAGGAAAAGAAAATTTTTTGTTTTTTTTAATTGAAAAACCTAGATGTGAAAATTATTCATAAAATCTAGGAACTCCTTTATTTAAAAAGATATATGTGGTCTAAGTGGATTAGAATTCCTGTCATCTCAAGGTAAAAGTGACTTTTTCTATAATGATTGCAGTAATTATGCAAGTTATTTATAAAGTCCTGGACAGTTCAAGATTATATCTTACATAAACTATACAACACAGTGGTTTTCTTTCTTCTTGAAACCTGAGAATGCAAGTCTTTCTAGCTAATTTCTACTTATGCTTCTCTTTCTAGTTAATTTCTACAACTCTTTTTTTAGTACAAGCCAAAATAATAATAAATAAATAATAAAAAATAAAAATAAATAAATACAAATAAAATATAAAATCTGAAGGCTTTCAGATTTTTATATTTTATTTATTACTACATTATGCTCAAAGGGGCATTTTTTGTAACGTTTTGTGTGTTACCTTAATTTATTAAATTTCATGTTCTTTGCTCTTAAAGCATAAAATTCAGTTCAACAGCAATATCGCAAAATAATTTTTAAATGAGCATATATTTAGAATTTCTGATACATAGTTTCCTGCACTGCAGATAAAAATGTTTTTTTTATACAGTGTTGCCATAGCTTACTTTGAAATGTTGAGTTTGTTAATAAAAAATTCATTAACGTTTTACAAAATATGAAATAGATAATAAAACAAATTACAAATTCGGGCTTCCAGATGCACATATTTGGATGACAGTGTACTTTATTCAAAATTTGATGGCTCTAGGTACCATTGTTTTATCACAATGCGAGAAACATAGATACATTTACGCAGATTCTTCATTATTTAGTTTCTTTAAGCATAATACACCGCTGGGTGGTGAAGTGCCTAGCGCATTGCGCAGCTGCACCACAGGTCCGGGGCTCGATCCATGGGCTGGGCAAGGTTGACTCAGCCTTTCATCCCTTAAGTATGTTGATAAAATGAGTACCAAACCAGGGTACCAAACAAGTACCAAATAATGTCACAAAAATGAGAACCAAACAAGCTGACCACTTGACCAGGGCATATGCTGATGCCCTCTGGGGCCCAAAGGTCAAGAAAGCAGAAAAAGTCACTGCAGGCTGTGGCACAGTAGGGTTGTTGTGCTGAGTTTAGTTTTTTAGTTAAATATAATATAGCTCTAATATTTGGTGGCAACAATTTGAAAAGTGAACAGATATTTCAATGCAAAATGCCAAAACGAAATTAATAGTCCTTCCGGCCAAACTGCCCCTTTGGACTAAATATTAATTAAAAGAATATGAAAGCTTTTAGATTTTACATTTTGCCCAAAGGAACATTTTTTACCATTTTGTGTGTTACCTTTATTTATTCTTTACACTTAAACCACAAAATTCAGTTCAACAGCAATATCGCAAAATAATTTTCAAAGGAGCATTTTTTCAGAATTTCGCATACACAGTCTTGTGTGCTGGAAATAATTTTTTTTTTTTCCATACAGTGTTGCCATTGCTTGCTTTAAAATTGTTGAGTTTGTTAATAAAAAATTCGTTTAAGTGTTACAAAATATGAAATTGATAATAAAACAAATTCTAAATTCCAAATTAGAGCTTCCAGATACCTATATTCAGTCACGGATTACGTTATTCAAATTTGGATGGCTTTAGGTAGCCTTGTTTTATCACAATGCGAGAAAGAGACATACATTTATGCAGATTCTTCATTGCTTAATTTCTCTAAGTTAAAAATAAACAAATAAATAAATATGAAAGCTTTCAGATTTTACATTATGCCCAAAGGAGCGTTTTGTTAACGTTTTGTGTGTTACCTTTATTTATTAAATATCATGTTCTTCACACTTAAACCATAAAATTCACTTCAACACCAATATGGCAAAATAATTTTAAATTGAGAATAACTTTAGAATTTCGGATACTAAGTCTCATGCGCTGGAGATAAAAATGTTTCCTTCCCCTCGTAGAGTGTTGCCATTTGCTCACTTTGAAATCGTTGAGTTTGTTAATTAAAAATTCGTTAAAGTGTTACAAAATATGAAAACGATAATAAAACAAATTTGAAATCACAAATTTGGGCTTCCAGATGCCCATATTGGGGTGGAAACATTCAATGTTCAAAATTTGATAGTTCTAGGTACCGTTATTTTATCACAATGCGAGAAATATACACACATTTATGCAGATTTTTCATTATTTAATTTCATTAAGTATAATACAAGACTCTAATATTTGGTGGCTACAATTTGAAAAGTGAACGAACATTTATAATGAATCAACACAAAATGCCAAAATGAAATAAATAAGTCTTTCTGGCAAATTACCCCTTTGGACTTTAAAAAGAAAAAAATCTGAAAGCTTTCAGATTTTATTTTTTGCCCCAAGAGGCGTATTTTTAACATTTTGTGTATTACCTTTCTTTATTAAACATCACGTTCTTCGCACTTAAATCATAAAATTCAATTCAACAGCAATATGGCAAAATAATTTTAAAATCATCAGCCTGTAGAGTTCCTCTCTTTGTAATTCGAAGTTACTGTTGGAAGTGAAGAATCTTAAGAACTGATAAGCGAATAATCACTTGAGTTTGTGTGACAGGAAACAACAAGATAGAAGGGTAAACTAGCCCTTTATTATTCCAACTAAGTTTAACAAAACTCCGTCTTGGCATGTACAATAAAGCCGACACTTCGAATTGAACTTATACTAAGAATTAACCTAAACTAATCTAAACTAAAGAAGTATAGCCGAAGCTATCAAAATTCTAACAGAGTTGTCCCCTTAATGTTAATAGACTGCAAAGCTATCAAGGGCCTAAAGTACAGCCGAGTATGATAATAGCTTAGGAAAGAAAAGCCTAAAAATGGCGGACATGTGCAGACAGAATACCTCGTATCTCTCTCTCTAAGACTGAAGAACTTTATGGTTAAATACCGCTCTTCCTCATTATGTATTCAGACATGATTCTAAAACTACGTTCTGACCGGAAGTGGTAAGTAGACGTTAAGAATCGATAGGAAAGGAACATTAACTCAAAATTTAAATGTTAATAAAATTAACATAATCTTTACAAGCCTATCTTTAGAATTTCCTATACAAAGTCTTGTGCACTAGAGATAAAAATCCCCCCCTCCCCCCGTACAGTGTTGTCATTGCTTGCTTTGAAATCTTTGAGTTTGCTAATCAAAAATTCGTTAAAGCATTATAAAATATGAAATTGATATAGATTCTTTACTATTTAATTTTTTTAAATATAACACAGGGCTATAATATTTAGCGACAACAATTAGAAAAGTGAAATGGACATTTAAAATTTTCAAGGGAAAATATCAAAACGAAATTAATAGCCGGTCTGAGCTAATGCCCTTTGGGCTAAAAATCATAACATAAAATACGTTTTTACACCAACAAAATACCAACAAAAATAAAGGACACAGACGCCTGTAATAATGTTGTATGAAAAGTATCTATACTTTATTCTTAATGCCATTTAAAAGATAAAATTTAAATGCAGACATCCTATACTTGAAATATGATAGCTGGTATTTAGTGCCGTACTTCACTGTAAAATGTTAAACAGAACCTATTGAAGTAATGCAATTATCATATTGTGCTTTTGCAGTCATCATTACAAGCATAAAAACTAATTCGAAATGATTACAATAATTAAACTTTTTATTAAAATGTTTTGCTAGTTTGTAACTGCAAACATTCATATAATTTTTATGGCAATAAACAATGCATTGTATGAAGACATTTCTTTTCAACATTCAATGCATATTGCAAAGTGCTCATACCTCACAAATTTCTGAGCTATAAAGGAGAGGAAAAGGGGGAGCTGCTTTTTCTTTTCAGGAAAAAAAAAAAGAGACAGGAGAAAGAAAAGAAAAAGAAACTACATTTTGAAAATTCAAAAGATAAGAAATGCATACCTTAAACCAGTGTTTCCCAACGTGGGGGTAATTCGATTGTTACGGGGAAATTCAAAAATGGATTAATCTAGAGTTTAAGTGGACAAGGGACATTCAATTTTCCAAATTTTTCTTTAAGTCGAAATTTTTCATTTTTTATTCCCAAAAATAAAGAATAATGTAAGTGCATGTAAAACGTTTAATATGTAAAAAAGTTTTTAAATTGCAGTGTATTTTAATATTTCATAAAGAATTTTCTCTGTAGACAGGGACATTTAAATGCTTAGAAATTTCTTCCTAAAACCTATCATTCAAGTTTCTTTCCTGAACATTTTAATTCTTGAATATTAGAAATTATGAATATGCTAGGGGTAGCATAAGAATTTTAGAAAGGATTAGGTGGAGCATAGCACAAAAAAAGGTTGGGAAACACTGCCTTAAACAATAATACTTAATAATTTTCTGCTACATTTAATATTTGATTGTCTTTCAAATCACATATATTTTAAAAAATTTAAATTTCTGGAAAAAAAAAACTAAATTTAGCTTTTACATACATACCCATGTATATAGCCAAATCCAGTTATTAAATTGATGCCAAATTTTGCTTTGAATTCTTTAAACATACTTCCATCTAAAATTCTAGATAAAATCTAAAAATTTTAAGAAGATATTTTCACAAATGTTTCATGTTTAAAACAGAAAAACAAAACAATTAATGTTCATAATGATATTAGCAAATCTTATATAAAGATAATTCTTCTACAATTTTTTTTTTTTTTTTTTTTTTTTTTTTTTTTTTTTTGCAATCATTAAATTAACTATTTTTTTTTTCATTATGTAACAAATATTTGACATTTTTACTAGGAAATAGTTAACTCCCAGTATATTGTAGGAGGCCTTATATTGTGGATTTAATTTCCCATAGAGGACACAAAGTTATTGTGATGTTACAGTGGTGTCTCACTGCTATATTTTCATCACATTACATTTGTAACTACGATATGTCACATTGTGATGCAGTTGTGAATGTCACAGCAAACATTAAATGTGATCACAAGAAGATTCTCAGTCTTCCCCCATTCCGACCTTTCATGGACTTACTCACATAATTCTCCTTCAATGGTAGATATCCTTGCTGAAGTCCCCATTACTTAATGATTCCCTGCTGAAATCCCCCCCCAATTCCTTGTTAGACATTTCAATAACCTTTCAAAATCTGTAATTTTTTATGCTAATAACTTAACATTTTAATTACTTCTTTTCTTAAAAAAATATTTATATTTCATAGAATACTTTTTTTGTGTAATACTAAGTAATTGTGGAACTATATTCTGCGATGAATGCATACACATTCTACTGTATTCAGTATTGTCATGAAAGGCTGACCAAAGAGTTTCATATAGATATTTTTTTCCCTGACCAAAAAACTAAAAACTTTTCATGACAAAAAAATTTAATTCTGTTCCTGCTGTTAGCAGAACATCTCCTCATTGCTAAATTTTCAGGAAAGCACTATTTATTCTATACTGATGTAAATGATATCACTAATAATGAATATATAATAATAAAAGCATAATTTAAAAATTATGAATGAAAAGGAGTAATAATTGGACAAAGGATTCATTTTAATTTGTATTAACAAGAGTGCAGGAGCAAAGGCATAACAGAAAGTTTGCTTTCACTTTCGTCTTGTTGCTTAAAATTTTAACTTACGCAGTCAATTTTATTTGGTAGATATAATTAAACTCCTGTTGCTTTTAATATTAAAAGATAATGTAAAAAAAAAGTTTCATGCATTTTATTGCAGTTCCTTGCATTGTGATCTGCTATTTTTCAAAATTCATTAGTTACCTCTGTACACAGTGCATTGCGTAAAATTACAAGTGATGCCACAGTTCTATGTTGTTACAAATTATGCCATACTTTCATAACCAGATTTCGTTTACATATATTATTTCAGATGAATGAAATTTGTAATTGTTATAATTTTACAAATGGCATATTACTTTTCAATGCTATTTATTTTTATATGCAGCACGCTCAGCTATTTTTCAAAATTCATTTCACAAATTCATTAGTCATTTCTCTGCATGGAACTTTATGTCACATTACAAATGATGCCATACTTCTATGACCAGGTTCTAGATGTAATGTGTTTTGAATGAAATCATGTAATTATTATAATTTTACAAATGGCATATTTCTTTTCAATGCTGAGCATTGTTTACATGTTTTCTTCTAAGATTATTTCTAAAATTTATTACATTAATTCTTTTTATGTCATGTTTTTACATATAACATATTTATGCTGTATTGTCAAAGGAACCCAGTTTCTTTATTTAGAAATTTTGTTAGAGAAAAACATTTTAGTTTAGATTAAGTTACTACAATATGGTAAAGCATACAAGGGTTATCTGTTTTTTAAAGGGAAACTGGCTCATATTCATGTTACATGTTAGGAAAAATGACTATGCAAAAGTACTTTTTTCTTGAGAGATTGAGGGACTATAATTATGGTATTCATTTTTTAAATGTACACATTAATGATTCAAGTGATAATAATATAAAAATAAAGATAAGCAAATTACATTTCATCAGCACTTATATATGAACAAAGTTAAAAACAAAGTTGTGACAAAAGAATGCAAATTAATATTAATTCAGGTTGAGAAATACAAGTTACTTCATTTTCTAACTAATTTTATACGAGAATTTAACCCATTGTAGAAAATTTTATAAATGTAATGAAAACTACTGTAAATTGAAATGCATATTTAAGCCATGCCAATAAACTTTATCTGAAATAATAACTTTATTTTAAATCAATTTATTTCACTTCTGCAAAGGAGATATTTTATTTTGTTATTTAAAGATTACATCTAACCATCTAATTACTACTAGTTTTGTTTTCGTGTATCATTCGTAGAAGAGGACAACGAAAGGATATTAATTTCTGCAGTTTTATTTAATGAGCTTAGGAAAAAAAAAAAAAAGTCTTTCATAAAAGAATTTTAAAATTTCTCTGTGACAGCTTGTGAAATTGCATATTATACATGAATGATTCATTAAACTGAAGTTTTTTGCCACCATCCAGTGGAAGACAAACTAATTTTAAGGGAAACTACAACTTCATGGAGTTCTCTCTCTTGTGTTCTTTCCTGTCAACAAATAAACTTTCTATCAGAAATTTGTTTATAGCAGAAAACCAATCCCTGAAGAGTCCACTGAAGCATTTTGAAAACTCATGATGATTGTTCTGGCTTTACTGTAGGACAAACATATATATATTTAATGTAATCAGAGAAATATCACATTTTCATTTTCTTCTGTATTTTAACAAAAGTTTCAAATTCATGCAGTTGAAAAACGAAATATTTTTTCTCCAGTAACACATGCCTTTCTTTCGATAAAATTAAGTAGTGGAATTACTTTTATTTTCATAAATTTAGCCAATTTCAAGAAAATTTCATATGATTTTTTTAATATTTTCAATAATTTAAAAACATCAAAGTTTCTGGAACTTTGATTAACCAATCTAGTAAGAAGTTTTTACCAATCTAGTAAGAATTATACTTATCAGGTTAACACCCTGATAAATATAACTTCTAACTAGATTGGTAAAAACACTGTTGTTATCCATTTTACTGGACAAAATTTGTAAAATAAGATTTTTGCTACACTAGATGAATAATTTAAAAAATAGTTCAGTGTTATACAACATGCCATTCACATCTTTAGTTATACTGAAGTCCTGATATAACATTACTGCCACAGTGTGATTTCACAATAATGTCCTAATGTGACCTTACAAGAATGTTGCCATGTCACTTTCTATCAACATTAAAGCTTTTAACTTCAGCATCACAGTGTAACTTCACTTCAATGTCACAATGTTTCTGCTGTTAATGTATTATTCATGCTTAAAAAAGTATTCTTAGTATTTAGGTTGTACAGAAATGAACGACACAAATGCTGCCACAGAGCGGAATACAATTTACTAACAAAAAACTGATATTACATCAATTAGAAATAATCTCCACCCATGTCGATACAATTCTGCCATCTGGCTGGGAGGTCCCGAAGGGCTTTGGTAAACCAGTGTGTGGGGGTGTTGGTGCTCCACCTATGGACAATTGCATGCAATTTGGCAGAAGAACCAACATGTTGTCCCCTGACTGCATCCTTCATGTTGACAAGCAAGGCGTAGTCCAAGATCTTGGTTTGAGATCCAAGTCCTCCCACCTTTGCACACAAATTTGTCATCACCAAATCACCATGCACAATCCCCTGCAATGTTTCTTGCACAAGCTCTGTCTCTTCCTGCATCTTGTTGAACATTACATGCCTGTTTGCTTTGATCAAATCTGACACAACTGCCACATTTGCTGCTGGTCATCCCGCGCTGACACCTTTGGCTGCGGTCTTCACTCCACTGATGAACTTGGCCAAACAACGGGATATGGTACACCTTAAGGGTGCTTTGTTCCCACACACCGACACCATGCAACGATGGATCTCACTACCCTGTATCCCTTCCTTCCATAGGAACCATGCTGTCCAATACTGATTGTGATAATCACCTTCCATCATTGTTGTCCATGCTCTCAATGACAACAGCGAAAGGGACACTAGCTCCATCTATGCATTCTGAGTAACATACGCCACCTTGTGCCTATTTCACTTGTTTTCCCTTCGCATAGTTTTGTTGTGAGAGCCGCTGTGTCAATCATTTCTGTACTATCCAAGTATATTATATTAGTCCTGAAATTTTGCTTGCTGCATAGATTAGGGAAACAAATGTAACTTATTTACAGATATATTTGTCATGAAAGAAAGGACATTACTTGAAATACATGATTTCCTTAGAGTAAAAATGCTTTTTTACTAAACTGCCAATATTACAGTAGAGATTTAAAATTTTAATCTGTTTTTCTTTTTGAAATGGAGAAAGTGTAGCATAAAACATTAAAATTATGCAGCCTAGCATTAGTTAAAAGAAACAGCTTGTAAGGGCAATACTTATATTAACTAATTTGAGGCAAAATTTTTTAGTCCTTAAGGAAAAAATCCAGCCCTTTCTCCTTTATTTTAATTTTGTTATTATATATGCATTATTAGCAATAACATGTAATATATTATTTCTCACAAAATAAACCTCCCTCATAAACCACACAAAGAAACTTCTAGAGACACCTAATTTTCAAAATAGCAGATGCTTCAAAACTCTTTATATAAAATAAGCATATCTTGACATGAAAGCAGAAGATGAACACACCAAGTGAAACATAAAATTAGTAACACAACAACCTTGAATTTGGTGTCGATTTAAGTCAAGAACTCAATCGATTTCGAGGGCAAACAGGTACAGATCCCTCTTCATCAGGAATCTACAAAACTGGAAGGCAGTGGACATAATAGTCGTATTTATACTCCACAGTAAAGCGAAATGAGAAGGTAGCATCATCTATTGACAAAAATATTAAAAGAATTAAAAAATTAAGTTAAAAAATTTTTAAACACATTAGGCAGGCCTGGATTGGACTTAAAGTCATTAACTAAACAAAATAAATCTTTGTGAATATGAAAAGCCTCAAAATCCAATTCAGCAATACAAGAAGCTTTTAGAATGATTTTTGCAGACCCTAAAATGTCAAAATTATGATTAAATTTCCAACAACTATTAGCTATCGAAAATTTGTTAATTTTGTCTTTTTGGACACGATTCCTATTCCTTGATATGAAACTTTAACTTAAACTCTTTTATTTTGGCCAATGATTCTCAAACGACACTGACATGATAGACTATAAATTTCCCAAGAATTAAAGTTAGAAATGAAATCTTTAAGATTCGAACCATGGATTTTTATTGATAGGCAAGAAAATGACATGAAATTTTAGAAGACAATTCTGAAGAATCCATGCAATTTTATAACTGACAGAAGGATAAAATGGAAGCAAGATTATTAATGTTATTTCTAATAGCAGAATGTCTTCTTTGATGGCAAGTGGAAAATTTTTTAAAGGCTTTATCAATGACCACTGGGGAAAATCCTTTCAATAGCAACTGATCTCAAATATTTGACTTCATTAGCAAGCAGAGATTCTGAGAAACACACTTTGAGAGCATGAAATACATAATAGTAAAAAGAAGTCATAACATGATATTGTGACCTCATGGCTTCTTTTTACTATTATGTATTTCATGCTGTCAAAGTTTGTTCCTCAGAACCTCTGATTGCTAATGAAGTCAATTAACTGAGATCAGTTTCCATTGATTGAGGATTTTCTCCCGTGGTCAAAATTTCATTATTTGTGAAATTTAATCTCTTGTTCCCATTAAGCTACATGATAAATTATTTTTCTCCTTCTGATTAATAATTTTATGAATTTTAAATAAAAGCTCATTTTATAAAAACTTGTTTTTGGCTTATAATGAGGACGGTGAGCCAACTCCAATAGCATGGCAAAATTTCTAACATGTCACATTGTGACATTTTCAGCATCACGTCCATGCCACACAATGTTGTTGTGATGTTCTGGGTATATCTTAAGGTCTGCTTTTCGTGACATCACATTGTGACATTGATGTGATGTCACACTGTGACGTTTATGTGACATGGTATTGTGATGTTAATGCAATTATGCAACAACAAATATAAGTCAATCATAAACGAAAAGGAAGTTAAAAATTTAAGCAGTTATTCAGCTGAAAATTTATGCTAAATATCATAAAATCTGTCATTTTTCAATAATTTTGTTCTTTATCAGACTACATATAAGAATATATTTTATGATTCAATAGCATTTTCTACATTTGCATACCACATACATATCTTCTCTACACAAAGTTTCTTTTCCAGAGATAATAGTTAAATCTTTAGATGAATATAATGGCTCTTGATAGGTTATCTGTGAGCACTGTGGCAAATTCAGAGTCAGTACTGATTCTCTACACATCATAAAGGCCTCTTCTTCATCCTCAGCATAATAATCCGTGCAGCCGCTTATACTAGAAACCATGATGCATAGAAGGAAAAAAATCAGCAAAAGTCAGAAATAATAAGAATATTATAAACACAAATATGATATAAAAAGGCAATTAGCAATGCATGGATATTTATAGTCTATTATTCAACTACTTTTTTCATTCCAAGAAAATATTATACTTTGCATTAAATAAAAATTTGCTCCAATATTTCTTAAGCTATGAAGACTGTTAATTATTTCTAATTTATCAAACATTTTTAGGAAAAATAACATATGGCTAAATTTTTAAGGAAATTTCAATATTTACAGCTATTGCATTTATCCCAAAGGCATCTCTTATTTCAAATGAAAAGTCAGGCCTTATTTTAAATCAAGAGTTTTGAAAGGTATCAAAAAAAATTTAACAGTGCTCTGAGTACTGGTTACTTCAGTTGTTGTTAAGGTAACTAACACTGACATTTTTATTTGTTTTATTTATTTCTAGCACACATTGTCTAATTATTGCCTGCAACATAAATTCCAGATGACTGTTAGAAATAAGTCTAAAACATATCTTATAATTCCTGTTTATTTGGAAAGTTGAAGTGATTTATAAAAGAAATAATAAATGAAACATGAGGAAAGACTGAGCATGACATCAGACACTCTAAAGAACACGTAGAAGGTTTAAAATGTAATTTCAGTAGGGAAGAAGACTTTATAGGTAAGTTATATCATTTCTGGTATCAAGCAGAATGAATTGCCCAGCCAAAAATACAAATAACAGAAGTTTTAACAAAAGACATATTACAGAAAACTACAGTACTGAAGGAGTATAATAATTTCTACAGGAGTCTAATACTCCTGTAGTGGTAGACAAGAGCAAAATTATTGTGTGTTTCTAAATTCGACCAACAAATTTAGCAGCTTAGTACTATACTTAGTAGACATCAAGATGATGAAAAATTGCCATAGAATATGGGGTTGCAAACCACACTTAGTGGGAGAAAATCTCAAGAATAGTTATGAAGGACGTGAGGTCAAATGGAACAAAAGAGGCCAATAATAAGTAGAAAAACATTTATTTGATGTAAAGCAGGATTATAATACATCACAGTTCAACATCAGGAGAACACAAGATTGTTTTAATAGGAATTGTTTGAAGTTGTGGATGTAAAGGTCATTGTACAGCCAACACCAATGGATAAAAGGACTGCTGAATACATTCAAATACATCTGGTGAGCTGGCGATGACCGTTGATCTGATGTTGTTAGATCCTCCTACAACCAATTTCAAGTGGCCCCAGAAGAAGAAATCCAAAAACTGAGGTCTGGGGAGCATGGAGGCCAAGCAACAGGTCTGCCATATCCAGTCAACCTCCAAGATATGTAGCCAAGCTCCGAGTATGTTATATGCTAGAATCAAAAAAAAAAAAAAAATGCTGGTGCATCATCATGCATGAAACGCATGTTTTGCCATACAGTGGCTGGTATTCGTTGCTTCAAAGCTCGGAAGACGTTCTGTAGAATAACAAGGTAATTTGCATCATTGAGGTGCTTGGGCAGAAGGTATAGCCACAACAAATTATCTCCAAGGATCTCTGCCCAAATGTTAATAACAAACTTGCATTTTCAATGAGACGGTGCAGCAAGGATTTTCGGATGATCCCACAGCACATTATGCATGTTGACCACATCTTCTGTCGTAAAGCAGGATTTATCTGAGAATTAAACAGTGGTGAGAAATTGTGAATCATTCTGTGTAGCATCACACATGCAGCATACAAACGCTACGTGAAAGGAGTAGTTGGCATTGCCTAGGAGTTGGACCTTCTGCACACGGAAGGGATGCATGTTTTTTGCACGCAGCACCTTCCATGCCATTTTATGACGAATATCCAGTTCAAATGCTACAGATCCTGTACTGGTTAGCGGGGAAGCCACTGCAGTACTCAGTTTTCTGTTTCAGGTGTGAGCACACTGCATTCTCACCCTGCACTATGCCTCGTTATTTAGAGGGATCCTGTCTCCTAAAGCCACCAATCAATGTTTGTGAAGGTGGTATGGTGCAGACAATGCCTCCTCAGATATTGGTTTTAGTACATCCTCAGTGCTAAGTGTCCACTGCCACCTGCTCAGCCATAAATCAGATGCATGTCTGCATATGCTTTGTTTGTGTAACTTGACATGATGTTTCTGAATGAAGTTTAACACACATTAATTCTGCAATGCCCACTAATGAACACTTGTTGCTACTTTTATTTTCCCCATATGCATAGAAAAATTGCATACAAAAAGGTTTCTTCTTCTCAACTGCAGTAATCCTAGTTCTCACATTTGTTTGGCTACTCTCTTCATCAGGCTCACTGCCCTCTCAACATCTATTTTTTCAATTTTCATCCACTAAATGTGGTTTGTGACCCCATGCTTTATGGTAATTTTTCATCCTCCTAATGCTTACTATCATCCCTCTAAATTTATTAGTTGAATTCAGAAACATCCTGTATAGTTATGCATACTACCATAGCTGCCGACCTTGAAATATGAAAAACCAACAAATTGTTTAGCAAAAATTGGGAATTTCAGGGAGAATTTTTACTTTGTGTGCCTATGCCATTTGAAAAGACCTCCAAATTGATTTCAGTTTATAATACATTTATCACGTTACTGAACTATTTATAATATAATTGTGATGTAAAGTACATTAATATTTCATTTGGAGTTCTAAATTTCATGTTTTTTGGCTAATTTAATTTTGTAAGCTTCTTATACTTTTTATAGAGAAAATCCTAAGCAGAAAATGAATGCTCTTATTTATCAACTTACTTTTAAATATACTAGCAATAAAACTAACAGTTTATGTACATATTTTATTGTGCGAATAAATTCAGTATTATGTACCATATACTGATATAAAAAAAAAATAAATACTGATTAAACATTGGCTGAATCTTCCTAAATGGTTCTACAAATGCCTACAGTACATTAAGAAAATTCAGATCAAATGAAGCTTAATACGAAAAATCGCACTGAAAATCTCTAGAGGTTACGGAACAAAATTTATATACTTTAATTTCATTAATTTAATAAATTTCATTTATTGCTGGGAAACATTTTCTTTAGTAAATGCTAAAAATTAAAAACTTGGAGATTCATTTACCTACCAGGATATATCGTGAAAAACAAGAAGAGTTGGCAGCTATGTATTACTATTATATATATAATACAGTACAAAGTCTGTAATCCAGAAGTCCATTATCCGGAATAATCTATAATCCAGACCTCAAAGGCCACAAACTTTTTTTTGTGTGTGTTTTACGCATGCGCGTAAAGGATGCACGTGCATACATTACGTGCATTATGCATGCGCGCCTTGAAAGAAATGTTTAATAAAGTAAACAAATAAATATTAAGCTTTTTTTTGTAAAATTTTATACCCTTTAGATCATAATTGCTCTTTATTTCATAAATTACGGTTTCATATTTTTAATTGTATAATTTCTGCATGCCATCTTACCAGATTTAAGTTGATGATCTATAATCCGGAAAAACCCCTAATCCGGAATCGCCGAAGTCCCGACGAGTCCGGATTACAGACTTTATACTGTATACTACTTTAGAAATGCATCTTATTTAATGGTAATTATTCAGTCATATTTTAAAATTGTAATTGTTTGTAATGTAATGTAATCAAGCAACATTCATTTTATAAACATTTATGATACTAAAAATGCAATGAATAATTATGATACAGTCAAAAGTCTTTAATCCGGATGTCCATAATCCGGAATGATCTATAATCCGGACCTCAAAGCTGCAAACTTTCTGCGCATGCATATACGCATTAATATGTTTACACATGCGCATAATACTTTTACGCATGCGCATATTCATTTACACATGTGCAGAATACGTTTACGCATCTGCGTTTAATGTATAATGGACAGTATAAACTAGGCTAAAATTATCTAAATAACTAGGTATATATATATAAACTAGGCTAAAATTATCTATTTCAGTTAATGTTGCAGATTGTGTTGTTCCTTAATCTTCTAATTGGATCCGGCTTATTATTTTTTGAAGACTGTTAGAGCAATTTTATAAAAGTAAGCTTGAACTTTTGATTATGTCAAAAAGAATTTCCGTTTCTGGAGCTGCCGAAGGATCTACAAAGCGAAAGCATGTTTCGTTTCGATGTCAACAAAAAGTGGAATTGCTGCAAAAAAATGGATAAAGGCATATCCTTTGTTTCTCTAACCATTCCGAAATCTGTTTATTAATTTCACGCTGCTCTCTGGGGGGGGGGCATTTGAAAGAAACAGACTTCCTTTAGAATACTGTGTTGTGAAATTTGTAGAAAAATATTGCTATCATAAAGTACAAGGTATCTGAAATGGAACTACACACTACCAGATTAGAACCCTCATTTACTTCCAGTTGTGTTGCAAAATGTCAGCTACAGAATGTCACCAAATTATATTGTATCATGTGACACTGTGAAAGTTTTGTACTGAAAGTTCAAAAACAAGGACTATGACATTCAAGAAGCAGAGTGCTCTGACTGGTCTACTGATGTTAATGAGGCCCACTTGTGAGAACCTGAGGAAGATCAGTATGCAACCACTCAAGAGCTTGCTAAGGAGTTAGACATTTGTGCCATGTCTGTTAGTCGTGCTATGCATCGCATAAACTTGACATACAAGTTCAATCACTCGCTCAAGTAGATAAGGACTCAAGCATGGGCCTGCACTAATCTGTTCGAATGTTAACGCGAGGACAAAATTCTGGACTGGATCATCACTTGTAATGAAAAGTGGATTTACTTCAACAACACAAGTCGAAAAGGAGTTGGTCTGCACCCGGTAATGGTTCAAGAAACATTATTCTATTCAAATATAATATATCATTTTATATTATCATGGTTCAAGAAACATTATTCTGTTCAAATCACGGCAAAATCAAAAGGCAATTAACATACAAATCAGGTTTCAAGCTTCAAGTTTATTCAATTCCAACACATATTCAACTAGCACTGCCAGATCC